AGTGGCTCACACCTGTAATCCCAGCAATTTGAGAGGCCAAGGCAGGCAGATCGCTTGAGCTCGGGGGTTCGAGACCAGCCTGGGCAACATGACAAAACCACCTCCTCTACAAAAAAATATCTCACACACACACACACACACACACACACACACACACACACACACACAGAATAGCCAGGTGTGGTGGCATGCGCCCTATAGTCCCAACTACTCCGGACACTGAGGTGGGAGGATCACTTGAGCCCAGGAGGTGAGGTTGCAGTGAGCCCAGATTGCACCACTGCACTCCAGTCTGGGCAACAGAGTCAGATCCTGTCTCAACAAACAAACAAATATAAATATTCTGTAAAAAGTTGTAGGAAAAATATTGTTTTGCATTAATTTTTTCTAATTTTTTAAATCTTTCAAGCAAACTAATGTACTGCCATTAACTCCTGAGGTTGTAAAAGAATGGACAGAGAGGAGGGGGAAAGAGAGAGAGAAAGGATGAAAGGAAAGAACTTTTTTTAGGAAATGAAAACTGAAATATCACTTTTCTCTTAGTTAATAGTAATTTTCTCCAAATAGTAATATTCTAAATCAGAGAGCTTTTATTTTTTTAATTAATTAATTAATTTGTTGTTGTTGTTGTTGTTGAGGCAGAGTCTCACTCTGTCGCCCAGGCTGGAGTGCAGTGGCGCGATCTCGGCTCACTGCAATCTCCACATCCCGGGTTAAAGCGATTCTCCTGCCTCAGCCTTCAGAGTAGCTGGGACCACAGGCACCCACCACCACACCCAGCTAATGTTTTGTATTTTTTTTTTTTTTTTTTTTTTTTTTTTTGCCACCCAGCTAATGTTTTGTTTTTTTTTTTTTTTTTTTTTTTTTTTTTTTTTTTTTGAGACGGAGTCTCGCTCTGTCCCCCAGGCTGGAGTGCAGTGGCCGGATCTCAGCTCACTGCAAGCTCTGCCTCCCGGGTTCACGCCATTCTCCTGCCTCAGCCTCCTGAGTAGCTGGGACTACAGGCGCCTGCCACCGCGCCCGGCTAATTTTTGTATTTTTTTAGTAGAGACGGGGTTTCACCGTGTTAGCCAGGATGGTCTCGATCTCCTGACCTCGTGATCCGCCCGTCTCGGCCTCCCAAAGTGCTGGGATTACAGGCTTGAGCCACCGTGCCCGGCCCTAATGTTTTGTATTTTTAGTGGAGACGGGGTTTCACCGTGTTAGCCAGGATGGTCTCGATCTCCTGATCTCGTGGTCCGCCCACCTTTGCCTCCCAAAGTGCTGGGATTACAGACATGAGCCACGACGCCCGGCCTTTTTTTTTTTTTTTTTTTTTGAGACAGAGTCCCGCTCTGCCACCCAAGCTGGAGTGCAGTGGAGGGATCTCGGCTCACTGCAACCCCCGCCTCCTGGGTTCAAGCAATTCTCCTGTTTCAGCCTCCTGAGTAGAGTAGCTGGGACTACAAGCGCACCTCACCATGCCCAGCTAATTTTTGGTTTCTTTTGTTTTTGTTTTTTGGGTTTTTTTTTTGAGACGGAGTCTCGCTCTGTCGCCCAGGCTGGAGTGCGGTGGCCAGATCTCAGCTCACTGCAAGATCCGCCTCCCGGGTTTACGCCATTCTCCTGCCTCAGCCTCCCGAGTAGCTGGGACTACAGGCGCCCGCCACCTCGCCCGGCTAGTTTTTTGTATTTTTTAGTAGAGACGGGGTTTCACTGGGTTAGCCAGGATGGTCTCGATCTCCTGATCTCGTGATCTGCCCGTCTCGGCCTCCCAACTTTTGTATTTTTAGTAGAGACAGGGTTTCACCATATTGGCCAGGCTGGTCTCAAACTCCCGCCCTCAGGTGATCCACTTGCCTCCGCCTTCCAAAGTGCTGGGATTACAGGCATGAGCCACCACGCCCAGCCCAGGGAGCTTTTAGATACCTTCTTCTATATTATTATAAGTTATCTGTTGCCAAAATTAGGTTTGTTTTATCCGTTTGGGCTCTTTTCAATTCATAGATTCAAGGGCATCATTTTGTGTTACTTATTTCAAGGACAGCTTCAGAAACGGTTCTTAGAAAAGAGAAATGAACAATATGCAGTAAGTCCAGAAGGGTTTTTTTTTCCCAAATGGGTTTGCACAGTCAGTCCCCGGGGGAGTTTTTGAATGGCCTTGGAGTTCTGGTTTGGTTCAAGATGATACCCGGACTTCAGCTGGTCCCTCCATGCTACCCCTGTCTAGAAGGGTCTCTGGGGATGGGATCTGGGAGCAGAACAGATCAACTTGTTCTTACTGGTATTTAAAACCTGCTGTGCTGAACCTAAATGGCCCTGCGCTGGGTCGGGCATTGTTTCCACCAAAATTCACATCTACCAGGAACCTCAGAATATGACCTTATTTGGAAATAGGGTCTTTACAAATGTAACCAAGTTAAGATGAAGTCATACTGGATTAGGGTGCAACCTAAGTGCAATGACTGGTGTCCTTATAAGAAAAGGAGAGGAGGGCCAGAGACACAGAAGAACGCTGGGCGAAGGCAGAGGCAAAGATGGGCAGGATGCAGCTACAAGCCAAGTGCCAGGGATTGCCAGGAGCCACCAGGAGCTGGCAAAGGCAAGGAAAGATGCCCCCCTAGAGTTTTCAGAGAGGATGTGGCCCTGCCGACACCTTGATTTTGAACTTTCACCCGCCAGAACTGTTAGAGAATAAATTTTTGTTGCTTTAGGCTCCTTAAACTTGTGGTAATCTGTTACGGTAACCTTAGGTAGATTCCAGTCAAAGAGGCTAGCATTCACTGGGCCTCACTCAGGCCAGGTCAGTAGATGCTACAAGATGAAGCAGCCCTCTCATGGCCTGATAGATTAATAACATCAAGTCTTTAAGGATGACAGAGCCTGAAATTGTGGGGAGGAGAGAGAGAGCAATGGGATAGAGGAAGAGGAAATAATATCTTAGTAACAATTTCAGGAATAATAACAGTCACTGTATTAAGCACTGTGCAGAGTGCATTATTTCTTTCTTATACCAACCCTGGGTAATGAATATTATTGTCTATATTCTATATGTCAGAAAAATTAATTGAGAAGGCTAAAGGGCTTCCCTCCAGTAACACAGGTTGTAAGAACCAACTCCGAAGCCCCAGTACTAACCATTCTACAGTGCCTCGTCTCAGAGCACAGGTTTTCCCGGATTGGGCTTTCCAAAGCAGCCTTGGGATGTTAACCTTTTGAGCAGCAAATATTATCACAAGGGTGGCTTCTGGGTAACTTAGATAACCATTTAATTAGTAATGCATTAGGCATACCACTCTGTCTGACATGTATCTGGATAGTCAAGAAGGATGGAGGGACTCCACGGCTGATGTCCTCTTCTCTTTGCTAGCAAACATGCAAATATCACCCCTTCCCTCAACCTAATGTGAGCACTTTCTATTTAAAATGATGGATGCTTAAAAAGGGAGGGTGGAGTCCACTGATCTTTTACAAAAGAGCAAAGGCAATAATACAATGGAGACAAGACAAAGAGAGTCTTTTCAACAAACGGTGCTGGGACAACTGGACATCCACGTGCAAGAGAAATGAATCTAGACACAGACCTATGTCCTTCACAAAAATTAACTTAAAATAAATCACAGTGTAAAACATAAAACTATAAAACTCCTAGAAGATATATGGAGATTGGAGATTTGTTTTAGATACATCACCAAAGGCATGATCCATGAAAGAAAGAATTCATAAGAGGGAATCCATTAAAATTAAACATTTTTGCTCCACAAAAGACATAATCAGGAGCATGAAAAGACAACCCACAGACTGGGAGAAAAATATTTGCAAAATACATATCTGATAAAGGACTGTTATCCAAAATATGCAAACAGCTCTTAAAATTCAACAATAAAAATGAAACATCTGATCAAAAGCATGGGCAAAAGACATGGAAGAGGATAGACTGATGGCAAGCAAACACATGAAAAGATGATTCAACAGCATATGTCATTAGGGAATTGCAAATTAATACAACAATGAGATACTACTACACACCGATTAGAATGGCCAAACTCCAGAACATTGACAACGCCAAATGCTGAGATGGATGTAGAACAACAGAAACTCTCATTCGTTATTGGTGGGAATGCAAAATGGTATCACCACTTTGGAAGACAGTTTGGCAGTCTCTTACAAAGCTAAACGTACTCTTAGAGTATCCAGCAATCACGCTCCTTGGTACTTACCCAAAGGAGTTGAAAACTTAGGTCCACACAAAACCTTGCACATGGAAACTCAGAAGCAACCGTGATTTCTGTCTTAGTCTGTTCAGGTTACTGTAACAAAATACCACAGACTGGGTAGCTTATAAACAATAGAAATTTATTTCTTGCAGTTCCGGCAACTGGAAGGTTCAAGATCAAGGTGTCAGCAGATTCAGCATCTGACGAGGGCCTTTTTCCCTGTTTATAGAATGGCACCTTCACTGTGTCTTTACATGAAGGAAGAGGCAAGGGATCCCTTTTGGGCCTCTTTCAAAAGGACACTAATCCCGTTCATGAGTCCTCTACCCCCTAGCCTAATCACTTCTCAAAGGTTCTACCTCCTAATATCATTACCTTGGGGATCAGAATTTCAGCGTATGAATTCTGGAGGGACACAGGCATTCAGATCATAACAATGCCCTTCAATAGGTGAATGGATAAATAAATTGTGGTCCCTCTAGACAATGGAATATTATTCAGTGATATCAAGCCATGAAAAGACATGAAGGAAACTTACTAAGTGAAAGAAGCCAGTCTGAAAAGGCTACATACAGTATGATTCCAACTACGGTCTTTTCCTCAATATCCATGGTACATTGGTTCCAGAAATTCCCTCCGATACCAAAATCTTTGGATGCTCAAGTCTGTGATATAAAATGGCATAGTATTTGCATATAACCTATCCACATCCTCCCATATCCTTTAAATCATCTCTAGGTTATTTATAATACCTAATATAATGTAAATGCTATATAAATACTTGCTCTACTGTATTGTTTAGGGAATAATGACAAGGAAAAAATACCCAAACATGTTCAGTACAGATGCCAATTTTTTCCCAGTGTTTTCAATGTGAAGTTGGTTGAATCCACAGTGGTGGGGCTCAGGGCTACAGGACTGACTACATATGACATTCTGGACAAGGCAAATCTAGGAAGACAGGAATCGATCAGTAGGTGCCAAGGATTGAGGAGCAGGGAGGGATGAACAGGCAGAGCATGGGGGTGGTTAAAGACAGTAAAACTATTCTCTGTGACACTACAACGCTGCAAATAATGCATTTGTCAAAACTCATAGAACATACAACACCAAGAGTGAACCAAGGGTCATTACGATGTGTCAATGCAGGTTCATGGCTGTAACAAATGGACCACACTGGTGGGAGATGTGGATAATGGAGGAGGCTGTGTATATGTGGGGCAGTGGGTGGATGGGAAATCTCCGTACTTTCTCTCCATCTTGCTGTGAACCTAAAGCTGCTCCAAAAACAATTACATATATATATAAAAAAAAGCGATGCGGTGGGAAGTAGAACTAGGCATGTAGATCTCAGTGCCGGCCGGTTCATATGGCCCCCCGCCTCAGCACAACCGTATAAGACACAATCTTTTATAGCTTCTCATTTCATCAGGAGTCTGACACAATTCTTTTATTTATTTATTTATTTTTTATTTTTTTATTTTTTTCTCTTGCTATGTTGCCCAGGCTGGTCTTCAACTCCTGGCCTTAAACAATCCTCCCACCTCGGCCTCCCGAAATGCTGGAATTACAGGTGTGAGCCGTGGTGCCTGGCCCACAATTCTTAACTGTAGATGATAAATTCTCTTTGCATCACAAGGCGGCAGAGCTCAGCCTCTTCCACTTGTCTATGCTGTTCCCGTTCGCTGCCAATCTCAAAGGCTGGGGCACTAAGAGTCCTCTGAGACCAGAGTCCTGGCCCATTAACCAGGGATTTTAATCCAACGAGTCTGCCATGGGGCCCCAGAATCTGTCCTCTCAATAAGCAGCCTGTGTCATCTTCATGCAGCTATCTGCACATCACATCTGGAGAAAAGCAAATCAGATTATAAAGCTCTAAAAGGCAGAAGTCACCATTGAATCTCTCGTGCCTGCCCCATGGTAATGCTACTCAGGAAATATTAACTGAACAAATGAATACATTAATTTCTTGTCCAGTGTCTTAGAAAGTTAGGAGGATTTTTTTTTTTTTTTTTTTTTTTTTTTAATGTAACAGAAAAGGAAAATGGCATAGTGTGCTAAGTCGGCTGACTGTGCTGGGGAGGGAAGGGTCTGGCACTCCTTGAGATTCTGGATATGTGCTTTCTGCCAGCTGGAGGCTCTAACCTGCTGTTAGAGAAGAATGGCAAAAGTCTAGCTTGGAGAAATTTCAAAAGGATAACCCAGGTGACAAGCTTCAGCTTCACTATGCAATGCTGTGTGACCTCATGGGAGTAAAACAGCTCAGGTAATGAAATCATGAAAAGTTGTGCAAAGCATTAAACACCATACATTTAAAACATTTAAAGTTGACTTCATTATGAAGCAAAACGCTCAGGAAGAACTCAGGACCCCACCCCAGGGGACTCACATACCCACAGTTGGTTCAGACAGCCCCCAAAAGTTGGCATGCTGTGTGCTTGGGACAGAACTTGCCAACTGTCCTAATAAAGACCCTTCCCAGGCTGGGTGTGGTGGCTTATGCCTGTAATCCCAGCACTTTGGGAGGCTGAGACAGGCAGATCACTTGAGGTCAGGAGTTTGAGACCAGCCTGGCCAACATGGCAGGAACCCTGTCTCTATTAAAAATACAAAAATTAGCTGGCCGTGGTGATGCGCCTCTGTAGTCCCAGCTACTCAGGAGGCTGAGACACAAGAATCCCTTGAACTTGAGAGGCAGAGGTGGCAGGGAGCCGAGATCACACCATCGCACTCCAGCCTGGGCAACAGAGCAAGACTTTGTCCTCCCTAACCCCACCCCAAAAACAACGACCACAAAATATAAGACCCTTCCCTACCCCTGTCTAGTGTTTTGTGATACGCAGCGTGCTTTTCCACATATTGAATCTTTACAACAACCCTGTGAGGTAGGTACCCTAATACCTACCTATCATTTTACAAAAGAAGAAACTGAACAGTTGGGAATTTTTTCCAGGCTATAAGGCAGAACCAGGACTATAATTTTGATCTTCTGAGTCCAAGTCTTGACACTTTATGACAGAGGCCCCCTTTCCTCCTGTATTTCATTGGTTCATCATGACTTTATCTTGGTTGGTACTTTGGTGGCTTTACATGGGCAAATAAGTTTAGCTTGTCCCACCTCCTGCCCCACTAATACTTCCTAATTCAGATCATGGATATTAACATGGGTCAGGGCACAAGGACTCAGTAATTTAAATGATGCTCCAACCTTGCTCCTCCATATGTCATGGGCCTGTGTAGGAAGGGCAGAGGTGCTGCTAGAGTTACCAGGCTGTCAATTAGAATTCTCAAGTTCTGACTGGGTGCTGTGGTTTACTCCTTCAATCCCAGCACTTTGGGAGGCCAAGGCGGGTGAATCACCTGAGGACAGGAGTTGGAGACCAGCCTGGCCAACATGGTGAAACCCAGTCTCCACTAAAAATACAAAAAGTAGTCAGGCATGGTGGCGGGCACCTGTAATCCCAGCTACTCAGGAGGCTAAGGCATGAGAATCACTTGAACCCGCGAGACGGAGGTTGCAGTGAGCCTAGATCTCGCCACTGCACTTGAGCCTGGGCAACAGAGCGAGACTCTGTCTCAAATAAAAATAAAAAAATAATAAAAAAAGGAATTGTCAAGTTCTTGGGTTATATTAAGAACCCTTTTTTCAAAAACAAATTGGAGCAATTATAAAAAGTACAATCAGTTGACCACAAACAGACATGAGGGATCTTTTTGGAGGTGATGAAAATATCCTCAAAGCAGATTGTGGTGATAGTTTTGCAACATTTTAAATTGGCTAAAAATCATTTAATTGTCAATGTGCAGAGGGCGAATGTCATGATACATAAACTAGGCCTCAATGAAGCTGTTAAAACATTAAAATATCAAAAATAATTTTACTAGAGTACGTAAGCTGTGTCTGTTTGCTTTACACTACAAATGAAAAAGTGTATTTTTCCCAGGCTTAGAGGTTTTGTTTGTTTGTTTAGAATTAGGGCATAAAATGTCAGAAAAAATGCAAAAGGCACAAATAAGTTTAAAATTAGTTTTTGAGAAAGCCGGGTAAAAGTGTGGTAAAGGGCCCCGCAGATGTAATTTTGGAGAAGGAAACAGGTTTTATAAAGCAGCCCAGTGAAATGTGAGGTGTCAGTACTGGGTTTTTCTCCTGTATAAGCCGCACCTGTCCCGGGAACCCCTGGGTGCAGGCTACTTGAGATGTCACACGCTCTACCTGGAGAAACACAACATTGGCAGGTATTAATTTTTAGCGTGTTGAAAAAGTGCTAATTGTCTCACATTCCGTTGAAATATAGAACTCCATTTTTAAGCAAGTGCCATATGCTTTGTGCCTCTAGCAAAATCTTCATACATGGTTCAGGGACTTTTAAAACCCTACCTTAGAGGCAACAACTCTAAACTAGTTAAGAAAGATAGTGAATAAGTTGGCCTTTTTTTTTTTTTTTTTTTTTTTTTTTGAGACAGAGTCCCGCTCTGTCACCCAGGCTGGAGTGCAGTGGCGCGATCTTGGCTCACTGCAAGCTCCGCCTCCCGGGTTCACGCCATTCTCCTGCCTCAGCCTCCTGAGTTAGCTGGGACTACAGGCGCCCGCTACCGCATCCGGCTAATTTTTTGTATTTTTAGTAGAGATAGGGTTTCACCGTGGTCTCGATCTCCTGACCTTGTGATCCACCCGCCTCGGCCTCCCAAAGTGCTGGGATTACAAGCGTGAGCCACCGATAAGTGGGCTTTTAATAGTAAAATGTACAAACAAAATTCTCAAGGATTAATTTGGAAGCTGGTGACCCTAAGTCAATTATATGCTTCGGCCTCCTCTAAAGCAGTGATCCCCAACCTTTTGGCACCAGGGATCCGTTTCATGGGAGACAATTTTTCCACAGGACCAGGAGTGGATGGTTTTGGGATGAAACTGTTCCACCTCACCAGATCATCAGGGATTAGATCATCAGGCATTAGATTCACATAAGGAGTGTGTAAGCTAGATCCCTTGTGTGCACAGTTCACAATAGGGTTCCACTCCTATAAGAATCGAATAATGCTTCTGATCTGACTGGAGGCGGTGCTCAGGTGGTAATGTGAGCAATGGGGAGCAGCTGTAAACACAGATGAAGCTTTGCTCGTCCTCCACTCACCTCCTCCTGTGTGGCCCGGTTCCTAATGGACCAGGGAAAGGTACTGGTCTGTGGTCCCAGGGGTTAAGAGCCCCTGCTCTAAGGAAAGGTGGTAGCATAAAGATGCTTAAAAACGAGTATTTTACGGCCATCTGTGGGTTATTTTGGACTTTTCATAAATTCTTAAATAACCAATTCTTCTTTCTCATAACCAGAGCAAGCATAGGCAGTCAGTCTGAGTCATAATCTATCTGAATTTGTAGAAATAAATTTGTCCACACAATGAAACCCTCACGTACACTGAGTGGGTACACCTAACATGGGGTTACCCAGGACACAGGAAAGGAGGGAAGAGTCGAAGAGTAAAAAGATGTGACTTGACTTTCCATTCTTCCATTTGTATCAGCTTAAGCAAATCACCTAAACTCAATCAATTGCATTGATTGAGTTTCCTCATCTGTAAGTGGGAATAGTCATGTATCATCCCAGTGGCTGTGAGAAAGAAGTAAAAGCACATTTTGGAAGTACTTTGTATATTCAAAGTCTTATTCTAATACTACCTATTACTGTTTCTTTGGTCAGAGCAACAACTCAGTCATTGTTAGATTGGGTATATGTAGAGGCCTGAAATCTTCAAGCTGGCCTCTAAGATTAGAGTATCCCAGCCACCAGCTGGTGTGCAAGGCTCTGGAGCTATGAATGGGTTGCTGGTGTGTCTGAGACATTAACCTCTTAGCCCTGGCAGCAGCAGCACAGGCCTGCGGTCGGTCACTCTAGTGTGACCTACAAATAACATTTTCTATATAAGTCTTGACTTTAAAAGGGTGGGGAAGCACCAAGGATTGAACAAAGAGATGAGATAGTGTCTGAATCTCCGTGGCCACCCTGCAACTCCCAGGGGTCTGGCGTTAAATCCTACATTCTCGACAGCCAGCAGATTTTAAATTTGAGGAGACAAATGGGCCTCATCCACATTTGCTTGAGAAGCATCTGCAAAAGCTACTGCATCAGATCCACACAGAGTCCTATAGGCCTGAGGGCAGCCTGTGTCCTGAGTACCTGCCAAAACACCCATAGCCCTGTGGCAGTCCCACACATGGGCCCTGCACCCACGGCCTTCGCATCTTACCTTTCCTGCTGAAAGACATCCTTGCCGTGGCTCCCAATGCTGACTCATTTCTGATATAAAATTGATAGGAACTGCTAGTTATATCATTATCTGAGTGGCCTCTCTTTGCATAGCCTAGGAGTTAAGGCATGGGTCCTGGAGTCAGATCGTCTGGTTCTAATGCAGGACCCTACTACTGTACTTTCTAGGTAAATAACTGTGCATCCAGTTCTTCATCGGTAAAGAGGAGTCAATGTGAGGGTTAACTGAGAGAAACCGTGTCAGTAGTTCCTACAACTCAGAACGTTTACCCTGGATGGCTTATTAAAATGCAGGTGGCGCCCCCTGGCGTCCCAGGGTTTCTAATTCAGTAGGTCTGGAGTGGCCCTGTGAATTTTCCTTTCTCAAGTTCCTAGGTGATGCGGATGCTGAAGACGCAGGGGCCGAGCTTCGTGACCACTGAGCTATGTAAGGGGATCAGCACACGAGAAACGTTAGCCATTAGTAAGAAGAATAGGCAATGAAGATGTGCCTCATTAAAAGACTTCCCAGTTGTGTTGTATTTGAAAATTTCTCCCCAAGAATCTTGTCCAAGTCGAGGAATAAAAAATCTGGTTCCTTTCAGCTCACTTTTCTTTGAAGTTAAGACACGTGGCGCGACACCTGTTTCTAAACACAGCTACTTGATGTATTACTTTTGGCAGCTCTTGCATATTTTTTCACCGCCAATAAAGTTATTGAAATTGAAATATACCATCTGTTTGAGAGTTTGTATCAAAAAGACAGGGACAAGGTTGCAGGTAATGACAGAGTCAAGCTGTTCCCACAGCAAAGGGCTGTTCCTAGCTTCCCCATCTGCCAAAATTGACTTCGTTTCTTAGATTTGGCATCCTCTTTTGAACCAACATGTTCTTCTGGAGCAGGGATTAAAAATCCAATATCACAAAACCAATTGGTTTTACCTGCAGCAATATTAAAGTCTATGGAGACTGTTTCCCACCATTTGGCTGAAATAGAACCAGCAGAGAGAAAGCAAATTCTATCAGATGTACATATATATGTAAATGCATCTATATATAATTCCAAATCTGATAATTAAAATGTAGATGTACCTGTGTGTAGTGTGTACCTGACTTTTTTCTTAATGTTTGTGAAAAACAGTTCCAAAAGAACCACCTACTCCCACTGCGCATGTGAGAGTTCCCTTCACAGATCAGGGGTTGGCAGCCCCGCCCCCGGAACGCACCTGGGCGCAGCCTCGATCCCGCAGGGTCCAGGTGCAGAGGGACTGGGATGCACGCAATACCTTTCGACGCAGAGCTGGGCAAGGGGCCAACAGGAATGGATGCTCCGACAGACGAAGCCACGTGGGAACAAGGACGAGCCCAGGGCAGCTTTTGTTGGAGGGACAGGGGAAATGTCACAGGGGGCGAGTGGAGTTGCTGGGGAGGATACGGTAGCATGTGGGATTTGAAGGCGGGGAAGATTCCGTCGTTTTCCTGACCACCTAACAGTGATGCTGTGGGCTTTCTGGATGGGACAGGACGTCAGACACAATAATCCATTCCCCCGTCCCCACGCAGCGCCTTTCAGCCATTCTGTTTCAGCGCGGGGAGGAAGGAGAGGCATGCCCTCTAGCTGAAGGTCGCACGGGGCTCACCGCCCAGTTGCCAGGAAGTCTCCCTCCTCCACGTGGCAATCGCCGCTGCTCCTCGGCTCCCTGTGTCTCCGCCAGTCTCTCTGGTTCTGCCTGCCTTTGTCCCTTCGTCAAGTAATTATCCCTCCCTGCTTCAATCAGGGTCCGGCGGATCGTCTTCACGCCTGATCTTGAGGATGGGAAAGGGAGACAGACATTTCTTACCTTCTGCTTCCTGACTGCTTAAAGCCAAACATATTCCCAGCCGAAGATGAGTGTTGCTACCTGAAACGCAAGTTTGCGAGCAGAAGGCCACTCAAATCCCCGCTGACCAGGCCTTAGGAGGACCGTTGGAGTTCTGGAGAGCTGCCCCGGCGCCGCTGCAGGGACCTCTGCTGTGTCCCCCAGTCCCTCAAAACTCTCCCGGGCCGCATTTCCCCCTCTCACGTCTGTCTCACGAGGCCACTCACAGCCTGGACTCCTCTCCCCAAGAAAACTTGGCAGGATGTCCCCTGCTGTACTGGAAACAAAAGCCTGGACGGGAGGTATATGGGGACCAGGAAGAGCCAGTTTAAATGGAAGGAAATGGAGGAAATACAGCTCAAAAGCTTAGCCAAGTGGGGCTTTGCTATACTATGTTATCTTCTTTTGCCTATGTTTGAAATTTAACATAATAAAGACTTTTAAAGTTGGGAAAGGAAAAAGGGGAAGAGAACAAAGAAAGATAAAAGAAAGAAATGAGAGAGAAAAAGAAAGAAGGAAGGAAAAAAGAAAGAGAGAAGGAAGGAAGGAAAAAAGGAAGGAAGAAAGGGAGGGAGGAGGAAGAAAGGCTTTGGCAGGTCAGGCACTGGTACTTCCCAGCCTCCCGAGGCTGCCCCAGCGCGCCCCCTGGTGGTCGCACATAGAATTGTCCTATTCGGTGAGCAGAGACAAAGGTTCCTTCTCTCATCCTCACGAAGTTCAGCCCTTTTTTTTTTTTTGAGCCTGAGTCTCGCTCTGTCGCCCAGGTTGGAGTCCGATGGCGCCATCTCTGCAAGCTCCGCCTCCCAGGTTCACGCCATTCTTCTCCCTCAGCCTCCCGAGTAGCTGGGACTATAGGCGCCCGCCACCACGCCCGGCTGATTTTTTGTATTTTTAGTAGAGGCGGGGTTTCACCGTGTTAGCCAGGATGGTCTGGATCTCCTGACCTCGTGATCCGCCCGCCTGGGCCTCCCAACATGCTGGGATTACAGGCGTGGGTCACCGCGCCCGGCGGAAGCTAAGTTTTTAGAAGCCCATTCTTCACCTACCGGGGAAGGAGAACAGAGTGGGATTTTGTTTGAAATTTGTCTGTACCTCAACTGGTGTAGCTTGGGGGTGGGGGGATGGTTTTTCTTTTCCCCATGCTTGTCAGTGTCACAGACATGAAGTCATCCTCCACAAGCCACCGTCCTCACCACAGACCCATCTTTCCCTTGGAGTCTCAGCTTCCAGTCTCGGCTCCACTGGTTACTACTTTGCTGAACTGGAGCTCCTGCTGACTGTATCTGAGCTTCCCTTTCATAATTTCCCTGCCTTCTTGCCAAGTGTGAGGATGAGGAGGGAAGGCTTTAGAAAACCTTGCAGTAAACACAATGCATGGGTGGCCACGTGTCCGCTCTGCTGAAAGTGCCTTCTATCTTTTGTGTGGACGCAGTTCACTAAAGACTCTGCGAACGCACAGCTAGCCACACCCCACACCATGGCACACAGCAGCACACAGCCTGGTCACACTTTCCTTAGTTGATTAATCACACTTCAGTTAGAGATGATGACTTACCTCTTGACACTTGGCACAGCCTCCCAGTTCTAGGGTGAGATCATTTGGAAAGGAACTAAGATAAATACCTTGAAACGGTTCAGTTCCCAGCTAGCTTCTGTTGCAGCTTTAAATTCATATTGCGGCACCCATTTCTCACCGTGAAAAGTGCCGGAGGTGGTGAGTGCTGTTATTCCAAGAACACCAGCAGAATATTTCTTGTTCACTTGTTACCTTTTACTTTGATCTTCGTGCCCTCGTCCCTTGTAATAAAAGCACTGTTGATTCAGATATTAACAACAGGACTGTGACCAAAATGCTAAATTAAAATATCTAAGACAGGTTGTTGTCCAGAAGCCAAAATAATTTTAATCAGGTTCAACCTCAAGACATATACATTTTTAAAAAAAATACCTTGCATTATTTGCTCCTTTAGTTAAGCATGAAATCACTGTCTATAATTATCATTGGGAGGAAAATCTAAGTTTACAGCATAGAGAAGAGTGCAGATGAAGAATTCACTATCAGCTAAGACTGACAGGCACATGGATGCACGGGAGTGCGCTTTTTCTCAGTGGTCCTTTATTCTCTGCTCCAAGAGGAGCTTCATCCATTAGGGCTTCCTACATGCATGTCATGGTTTCTGCCATCAACAAATTTGCAGTTTAATCCAAGAGACAGAAACCCCTAAACTTGAAACAGTGAGGGAGATGGAGTTAATTAATGCCTTTCTTTTACCGGGCATTGCACGTGTATTTAATGACTCTAGGGATAAATATGTAATTACCTCCATTTCACAGATCAGAAAACTGAGATGAAGAAGGGTCATAATTTTGGTCTGAATGAGAGATAATTCCCATTTATAAATGAACACACCATGTTTCTGATTTTTATAGCTCAGAAAAAGTTTGGATACTGGTACCCACCACTGAGAGATGAACCCATTCTGGGTGTGCTTGGGAAGGAAGACCAAGGATTGGTTGGGTCTAAACTAAGGTGGCATCATCAAGTAATTGCCACTCCCAGATCCTCTAGGCCTCGTCTGAGGCCTTCTGGCTTCTTACATTGCCCACATTCCCCTCGGTGTGAGATATCTGTAACAATGACCAAAAGGAATTTAGAAAAAGAGAAGTTTCGTACAAACAGAGGTGCATCCAACAGCCAGATGTCCAGGCTGGATAAACGATGCAGGCTGGACTTCCCCCAGCTCAGGTGATGTGACTGCAGACCTGAGCTACTGAACACATTCTTACCACATCAGTGAGACAAAATTAAAATTAATATTATATTTACCTTTTTGAAAGTAAAAGCAAGTTTATTAAGAAAGTAAAGGAATAAAAGCTCATTTCATTTACTTTTTTTTTTCTTTTTTCTTTTTTTTTTTAGAGACAAGATCTCACTCTGTTAATGAGACTGGAGTACGGTGACACCTTCTTAGCTCACTACAGCCTTGAACTTCTGTGCTCGAGCAATCCTCTTGCCTCAGCCTCCTGAGTAGCAGGGACTATAGATGCAAGTCTGGCTCATTTTTTTGTAGAGATGGGATCTCTCTATGTTGTCCAGGCAGGTCTTGAACTCCTGGCCTCAAGTAATCCTTCTGCCTCTGCCTCTCAAAGTGCTGGGATTATAGGCATGAGCCACTGCACTCAGCTAACACTGTATTTTAAAAGTCCTTATCTTTGGGGGAAGTTCCCTTCTCCCAATCTGTGCTTCCAGAAGTAATAGTATAGCAGCCCCACAGTTATCCAAGACGTTACCATTAGGGAAAACTGGGTGAACGGCACACAGAATTTCACATATTATTTATTATTATAACTCCATGCAAATTTATACTTATCAAATAAAGTTAAACAAACACACTTACATTTCTTTTTAAAAATTAAAACTTGGCCAGGCACGGTGGCTCAAACCTGTAATCCCAGCACTTTGGGAGACTGAGATGGGTGGATCACGAGGTCAGGAGATCGAGACCATCCTGGCTAACACTGTGAAACCCCGTCTCCACTAAAAAATACAAAAAACTAGCCGGGCGAGGTGGCAGCGCCTGTAGTCCCAGCTACTTGGGAGGCTGAGGCAGGAGAATGGGTAAACCCGGGAGGTGGAGCTTGCAGTGAGCTGAGATCCGGCCACGCCACTGCACTGTAGCCTGGGCCACAGAGCGAGACTCAAAAAAAAAAAAAAAAATTAAAACTTAAAAATGTATAGTTAAAATTTGCTAAGAGGGGAGATCTTAGGTGAAGTGTTCTTACCACCAAAACAAAATGATAATACCAGAAAAGTGGCAGGTGGGAGCTTTGGCAGGGGGAGCTGGGTACGTTTTTGGCCTTGGTGGTGATAGGTTCTCAGTATGTTGAGATGTAAATTTGTACAGCTTTTGACATGTCAGTCATTCCTCAATGAAGTGGGTTTTTAAAAAAAGCTAAACAAATATTATAGCAGCAGCATTAACTATCATTTATTCATTTACTCAACAAATATCTATTGGACACTTACTGCACGCCAGGCACTGTTGTCAGTACTGGGAGACAGCAGAGAATGAAACAGGCAAAACCTTTCTTTTGCGGAGCTGGATTCTAACGCTAGTTGGCTAGACCAAGGCTTCATTCCAACAGGTTGCTGAAAAGTCAAGTTATTCCATAAACACTAACTACAAAGTTTACTTCCTCAGTTTCCCCAGAGGAGAGCTGATTAGGTTTTTCTGGGCTGCTTGACAAGACTCAGACAATATTTGTGAATACGAAGCTTTGTCCCAAGTGGTAAATAAACTTGTTTAGAAACACCTGTAAAGTTTAAAGGCGTGCTCTCTTCAAGGCGTTTGGAAACTCTAACTGCCTTCTCTTTTGTACTTTTGCTTGCTGTCCGCTACAGAGTGTCCAAGCACCGAGCTGTGCACACAGTCGCTCCCGGCAGAAATGCTTAGGATGTGATCCATGAATCGTAAATCCCAGCTAGTGCTCACCAAGACAGACGTTTCTCCCCAAGACCATTCCAGTGCCCCAGAGGTCCACAGACATCCAGGAAGATGCAGCCAGCAGACAAAAAATGGCAGCCACCGAAGCGCTGAGGGGAGCCCTCCTGGCCACTTCTGTCCCAGCTCCAAGGGTCTCTCCATGATGGCCTGCAACAGTACATCCCTGGAGGCTTACCCATACCTGCTGCTGAACACCAGCAACGCCTCGGACTCCAGATCCACCCCGCTGCCCGCACCCCTCAGGATCTCCTTGGCCGTAGTGATGCTGCTGATGACCGTGGTGGGGTTCCTGGGCAACACGGTGGTCTGCATCATCGTGTACCAGAGGCCGGCTATGCGCTCGGCCATCAACCTGCTCCTGGCCACCCTGGCCTTCTCGGACATCATGTTGTCCCTCTGCTGCATGCCCTTCACCGCCGTCACCCTCATCACCGTGCGCTGGCACTTTGGGGACAACTTCTGCCGCCTCTCAGCCACGCTCTACTGGTTTTTCGTCCTGGAGGGCGTGGCCATCCTGCTCATCATCAGCGTGGACCGCTTCCTCATCATCGTCCAGCGCCAGGACAAGCTGAACCCGCGCAGGGCCAAGGTGATCATCGCGGTCTCCTGGGTGCTGTCCTTCTGCATCGCGGGGCCCTCGCTCACCGGCTGGACGTTGGTGGAGGTGCCGGCGCGGGCCCCACAGTGCGTGCTGGGCTACACGGAGCTCCCCGCCGACCGCGCCTACGTGGTCACCTTGGTGGTGGCCGTGTTTTTCGCGCCCTTCGGCGTCATGCTGTGCGCCTACATGTGCATCCTCAACACGGTCCGCAAGAACGCCGTGCGCGTGCACAACCAGTCGGACAGCCTGGACCTGCGACAGCTCACCAGGGCGGGCCTGCGGCGCCTGCAGCGGCAGCAACAGGTCAGCGTGGACTTGAGCTTCAAGACCAAGGCCTTCACCACCATCCTGATCCTCTTCGTGGGCTTCTCCCTCTGCTGGCTGCCCCACTCCATCTACAGCCTCCTCTCTGTGTTCAGCCAGCGCTTTTACTGCGGTTCCTCCTTCTATGCCACCAGCACCTGCGTCCTGTGGCTCAGTTACCTCAAGTCCGTCTTCAACCCCATCGTCTACTGCTGGAGAATCAAAAAATTCCGCGAGGCCTGCATAGAGTTGCTGCCCCAGACCTTCCAAATCCTCCCCAAAGTGCCTGAGCGGATCCGAAGGAGAATCCAGCCGAGCACAGTCTACGTGTGCAACG